TTAACCAGATATTAGCTCGGATCAAAGCTAATTCTGTGATGAATCAACGAGCGGGTAAGGAGATAGCATCGTCATCACAAGATCAATAAACTCAGGTATCGAATTCTCACTCTGAAAGGGAACAAGCACCGTTAGGTTATCGGGGAATCAATAATGCTTTGGTGAATCGTGAAAAGATGTTAAGAAAAGTGGAGATGCCGGTGTTCTCTGGTCCTTTACCGTTTGATTGGATATCTAGAGTGGAGAGATTTTTCAAGATTGGTAACTTCTCAGAGGAGGAGAAGTTGTATCTGGTGTCGTTGAGTTTGGAAGGGCCAGTCTTACCATGGTTCAATGGGGACGTGCTGCATGATCCGTTTGTGAATTGGACTCAGTTCACGGAGAGGATGTTGGATAGATTTGCAGGTCCGATTGATAATGATCCAGCAGCAAGGCTATTTTGCTTACAACAAACTGGTGACATGCAGGTTTCACATACGCTTCTTAGTTTGGTGGACTCAAAACTAGTCAGCCATTTTCTGATACTCAAAAGAGACTTTGGGTTTTGACCAGAATGCTTCAAAGTGCATTATCACAAAGTTTCAATGGCATCACACCCATGAAAGTATCTCATGAGTTAGCCTCAAAGGATAATAAAGTTGAAGGCATCTTATCACTAAACAATTTTGTAGGTAATTGTCTCTGTCACTTGTGGGTACATGCATTCTCCTAACAGTGTGATGACTATCTTCCCAAAGCTCTGAATCACAAACTTCTACCTGTGGCCTGGACTGGAGGGATGATGCTCTTGATAGGGATCTGTATATACAAACAAGTAGTGTTACAATATTGGCTATGGACGGGAGAAGGCGCTGGTTGGACATAGAATTACTGGTCTGTGCTGATATGTATCACTTAATGATATGCTATTTTAGACTTTTATATTACTTAAGATGAAAGTATTGATCTCCCATAACACATTTTCTGTAATATAGGGATCAAATGGAAAGAACCAGTCTGATGAATGTTACTTAAGATGAATGTTACAAATCTGGCGCCTTGTTCTGGAGTTAGACTCCATCTATGGCCTGAGAAGGATAAATCGAATTCAAACTTACCAGTATGTGAAAGGATTCTAGAAGTTACGTCAAAATGGTTCTCATTCCAGCAGGCCCTGCGCCAAAACAGGTGCATGATATATCAATTACAACATTGTTGGATTTGTCTTCACATTTTCATTAGCTAATTTTTCCATTATGTATATGTTAATTAGCCAGAACCAGGGAGTCAAACAGAGAAGCTCCTCCATCTGCAGTGCTGAAGCTAGGGTCTGAAGACATGCACGGATTCAGATTCTTGACTATCTCAGTTGCGCCTCGCGAAGTAATTGCCACCTTGATATATCTGCTTTCTCTCAACTTTCAGCAACTTTCAGATGACTACAAGTGTGTAATAACTGAAATGAGACCTTCTTTTGCACAGGCAGTACTTTCCGGTAAACCTCCTGTGGCGGTTTTTATGGCAGCAGGGCAGTTCTTTAACCCTAAAGAAGGGGCCTTAGAGGTCTCATCTCCATCAATGCTCTTATCCGCTTACTGTACAAAGGTTTATTATCTTAAAAGTGGCAACACTCTTTCTTTGAATCTCCAGTGTTTTGGAATGAGGCTAGTGAAACGATTGGTTAATTGATTTAACTGCCAACTACTTTTTTCTTGCAGGAACTGTTTTTGAAGGAGGACCATACTCTAGCTTACTATCTATCATTTGCTATCAGCTTAGGTCTACTGCCCATAACACTGTCCCTGAAAACTGCTGGATGTGGAATTACAAATTTTGGTTTACCAGATGGGGAGACTGGAGACATGGACAAGGATAGTAAGAACTCAAAAACTCTCTCTCTCCAGTTCTACAGATCTTTATTTTGATAGTTTCTTTCTCATAGTTTTGTCTGTTACTCTTCTAATTACCACAAATTGTTCAAGATTCAGAGCTTTGCAAATTGCGCTGTTTCCCACCTGTTGCCCTATCCTGGGATACTGCTTCCGGACTTCATGTGTTTCCGAATCTCTACAGTGAGACTAGAGTTATTGATTCTGCACCAGCTCTTTGGAGTTCTCAGAAAAGTACTGTTATGCTATGGTCAGAAGTATCTTACACTAATCTAGTAGTCTCTGTTATCCTCACTGTAACTGACAACTCAAACGTTGTTTTTATGCTTTCCTGGCTCCTCTGCAGGTTGATCCTCATTGCTCATACACTGCAAATGTTCAGGTCTCTGCTCCTGCCGTGTCTGCCAGATCTTTACTTCTATACGGTCCTCAGGTAGCTTCATCTCTAATCTCCTGAGCATATACGCATCCTCTTTAAATTGAATAACCTTTCTTCACATGTTATCTGATATTGCAGATAGTTGGCTTCTCATTTTCCGTTACATTGTTTAGTCTTATGCGGCAAGCTCATCAATGGGACCACGAACAATTTGTGCCATCTTTGCTCTCGGCTGTAGAGCAAAACTTAGAAATGCCATCTCCATTCCTGCTTCTAGTTGTTTTCCCTCTTCTAAGTTCTTTGTTCTTCTCCTTCCTAATGGCTCAACCAATTCCTCCCCTCGCAAGCTTCACGGTTGTCTCATTGATCTATTATTTGTTGGCCAATGCTTTCATTTGTGTGTTAATTATTGTCTGCAAGTTTTTCTTTCAAGCGTCTGCCCTTGTGCACACCACTGTTAAATCAAAGTAAGTACATTGCTTTTCTTCACTTATTTTTGTTCTAACGTAATCCAGAAATAACTGAATAAGTGTCAATGGGTCGCTAGGTGCCAAGCTTTGGAAAGAAGCTCTTCTCTTGTTTTTCTTCATTGGTTTTCTATACTTGCTTCCACTTTTGTATGTTTAAAGGTTTGCCCCTTTACCTAAACCCATCTAATTTTAACTGCATGCATAACATTAAAAACATATGCTCTTAGTTTAGCATCTTCTCTTGGCTAAGTTTTATCATCAGATTTGAGTTAGTGAGATTCTGTTTTTTGAAACAGGCAATCCGAATTCTTCAGCTCAACACAACACAACACATGTTATGACACTAGCTGCAGTTACCTTAGTGTCCTTTGTTCATCCTGCTTTGGGTCTTTTTGTAATCCTAGCCTCTCATGCCCTTTGCTGCCACAACTCAATGTGCTGGTAAAAACTCGACATACCTCAGGCAGACAAGAACTCTTATTAGTAGACATGTCTGAAAAGTCGTTTGTTGAGACACAAGCTGACATCTTCAACCACAGGCACGGCTTACTAATATAGCTTTCTTATTTTCACTTGTGAAAGTGATGTTTTAATGGATTCTTCTTTGTAGCGTATTGGAACAGGACAAAGCTTCCCTTGGTTTGCTGATTCAGCTCTATGCATTGGCGTAATCTTCCACGTAATACTGAACTCGAGACCTGAGTCAAGCGTCCTACGCTCTTTCCCATCTGTTTTGAGACACCAGCTTCGTCCTCATTACATTTATCTCCTGGCAGGCTACTACTGCTTCTTCTCTGGACTAGAGTTGGCTCCTTACAAAGTGTTCTACGCCATAGCTGCTTTTGGCTACATATCTTTGGCTCTTAGGCTCTCACAGGTGAACAACAATGACCTTCGTTTCCGTACCAAAAGTAGAATACACAGACGCTGAGCTCTTTAGTCTGAACAATAAGAATATTCTTTTAATGACAAAGGTTTGGTTTCGGTAATGATCATCAAAGAGAGTTTTGTTAGGGTTTCAATCTTCTTCAGTAACGTTGGTTTGATTTAGAATTGGTTTCATTGATTTTTGAGTGTGTTTGTTTGTTGTTGCAAAACTACAATGATGAGAAATGATTTTACATTAAATCTTTTCTTTTTTTATTAAGAGAACCCCCATGACATGAAAAAAAAAACAATCATAAGAATGAAAACAAAAAACAAATGAACAGAAAAGAGTACACAAAATGCCAACAAAAAAAAACAAAAGAACAAGTTAGGCAACTCAATAGATGAAACCGGCCACGAGAGCCACGGTGGCTACGGCCAAGCCGGTGAAAATATCAGCGGCAGCTATGACGGCGGAGTTTGGTGTCTTTGCGTAGTCTTTGTCGTTATCGTATTGAGCCGAGACCGTGGCAAGCATCAATGCCAACACTAGACAGACCAAAATCATCTCAACAAAGATGTTCTTCATCATTTTTTGTTTTGATTTTTTCTTCAAAACGCTGTATAAGATTCGGATGTGTATAAGATTCGGATGTGTTGCTGTGGAAATGTGAAAAGTGGTTTGTTTATATAGAAAGAGCTATAAACAATTTGCTATCAATGTAAGATAATATGAAAATATTACATTTAATTTTTGTCATACCATTAATTTCTGTCTGCCGGCTTGATCAAGAAAGCGATTCTTGATTATATTATAAACTTATAGTATTACTTTCACATTAGTTTAAATGGGGGAAATAGTTGTCAACCTTCTTTTAGAAATGAAGTAGTCGTACCGTACAACATAAAAAAGGGTAATTAGAAAGAATAGTGCAATATGCTTCTGTAATAAAAAGGGAAAACAAAAAATAACAAAATATACTTAAGAAGTTTCCACTACTTTTTTAATATGACAACTACACTCTAATATATACAAAATAGATATTGGAAACTGATAATTCCGTGAAGTTATGTATAAGTCTGTACGTGCTAGCTAGTTTTAGAAAATATCATTTGAATAGTAGTCGATAATAATCTACTACGAAAGAAATATATAATCGCACGTACGTACGGACTGGATTTCAATAATTTGATAATAGTATACACAATGACACATGTCTCTTTGGGTCTCTTAGGGTCTCTTAGGGTCAGTTCCCAAATTAATAACTTTGTTGCCATTATGACAACATTCTACGTGGGGTTTTGGATCATTTCGCAATCTGGACAATGCTAATATATATTAGTATAAAACCGAATCCAAACGGATGTAAAAGAGAAAAACATATTAGTTTACGTATTGCATCACATATTCAGGGTTTGCATTTAGGGTTTGATATGTTCTCTAGTGTAAATAAGTTCAACTTCATTATGGTGAGCTCTTCAAGACTTTGTATCGTATATAGCTCGGACTTGTGTGTTCATGTCAAACACAGATTCTGATTCCCAGTAACTTTGTTTTGGTTTTCTACTCTCATTACAACTACTATGCTATCATAATTAGAACATCGGTTATTAGATGTAGTAGTTCTCATGTTCCATCATAATTTCCACCTGTTATACATTCATTTAACAGCTAGAGCACTTTCACTTTGAATTGGCTCATATTGCCTTTTTTCCTTCTTCTTTCACGTTCCAAAATCATCATTTTATAACACTTTTTTTTATTTCAACACACAAAGGAAAATAATTTAACGAATTTAGAGAGAGACGGAAACAAAAGATACAAGGTCAAGAACAAAGAAGATAACCGAGTCACAACTCACAAACATTACAAGCCAAGATAAAGAGTTACGAACTCAGTATATGAAACCAGCTAACAGAGCAACAGTGGTTGCAACCAAACCGGTGAACATATCGGCGGCAACAATGACGGCGGAATTTGGTTTCGAAGGTCCAGGTGCCGATGCGTGGTCGTGGTCGTGGCCATCGCCTTCGTGGTGATCATGACCGTCATGGTTTTCCTGAGCCGAAACCATCACAATCATGGCCATCAGAAGACAAGAAACAGTGATCTGAATAAAGATCTTCTTCATCATGTTTGTCTGACGTTAGTTTTTTATCACGCTGCTAAGGTTGATAAATGTGAGACACTGAGACAAGACTCTACTATTTTTTTGGTTGTGACAATAGATTCTTGATAGTGGATTTATATAGAGAAAGAGAAGTTAAAAACCTCTTGTGGGACGTCTATTTTTGTTATTTATTCCAGCTTGCTCAAGGCAGAAATTCTTTATAGTTTTTGATTGTTGACCTTCACGATTATTTTTTTTTTTAATGATATGACATGTTGCTCAGCTCGAATAGGATTTTTTGAGTGATTTAGCTCAACATATGAAAAGAAAAAGGTATTTAGGAATTTGTCATATTTTAGGGAGAAAAAGTAGTGATGAAGGAAGGAAAGAGAAGAGAAAAATAGGGTATGGAACTAAATATGTGTTTTGTGTGTGTATGGAGTGTAAATATTTATTTTTTTTGTACATCTCAAATTATTTTGAAGATTAAATTGATAATTTGGGAGATCGATATTGTAACTGAGTAAGAACAACCAATAATATACACTGATATCAAACTTCAATAATAGAAATATTGTAGATGTTTGTCAATATCTTAGTTGCATATGTTTACTTTTGATGTGAATGTGTAATTTCATATGTATCTATTTTAGTAGAAATAAAGCTGTTTTTTCTCAGATGTAATTCTAACTTTTACAATAATATATATAAATAGTTATATATATATATATATATATATATATGTTAACTATATACATATGTGCTTCTAGTTGAAAATGTTGGATACCTTTTTCTATATTTTGTAGCATTATATAAAAATGACCTATAATACAAACGACCCAAACTCTTTAGATTAGTGCCACCATTAATTTGACTAAATTTGCATCGCCATTATGACGACATTCCATGTACACATTGTACAAGTCTGCCAGCAATGATCAATTTGCACACAAAATAAATAAATTATTTTAAGTCAAACTTTGTTTAAAAAAATTCAAGAAATTAAGAAAAGAAGGACGTGGAGCCAAATTATTTTGTATATGGTTGAAACATATTAAATAGAAAAACTATTTTGCATTTTAAATATAATCTAATTTTGTGTTTTATCTATCTTTTTGTTCTGGATTACTTTCATTAACCGGATAATGACTCGGATGGCTTGCAATTTACAACAAGCCTCTAACCAAATAGGTGCAGAAGACAAGGCATGTTCGACCAAACTATAACCCACTTGGTTCGAGGTTCGTGATCCGAATGAGAAATAGCAGTAGAGTAACTTCCCCTTCGCATGGACACAATATACAGATTCTCCAGATGTTAATTAGCCTCTCTTAAGATCTTCAGATGTCAACAAAACATTCTCAAAGAACTATAGATTTCAAGAAAACATGAAGACACAACAATGAAGTTTTTACATTTTACAATGTGTTGTTGCAAGAAAACGTAAAGGAGTACAATGTAGTTTTCACGATGTCATTGATAAAATGATCATCATCACTCAATCTATCATTGCCTTCGAGCAGCTCGTGACGCCATAGCTCTAAGGTTAGCTCTTGCTCTCGATAGAGAAACAGCCGTTGAAGAAGAAGAAGAAGCAATTGCAGCAGACCCTGTACCGCCAAACGCAGACGCCAATTCCTGCCTCTGTAACCGCAACGCAAAAGCTGCATCGCTATCTTGATCCAACCTCACACTCGTCCCTCTCCTCCTCCTCTCGCTTCTCTCTTCAGACACAAGTAATCTTGAGATATCCTCTCTCTGCAACCTAGCTTGCAACGCAGTTTCTCTGTTCCTGCTTCTTAGCCTCTGGTTAGAGTCTCTAGGACTCGGCGTTTCCTTGGTTAGGAAGTTAGAAGAAGCAGCAGCTCTCTGTGCTTCGACTTCTTTAGGGAACAAAAGCTGGATTGTGTTCCAAAGAACTGTATTAACTGTACAATACTTCCCATTTCTGTATAGATATATAACATTGTTAGATAAAATTCGAATCTTTCAATCTCAAAACAGAGTTTTGATTCTGTTTTACCCTATCAGTTGCCTGCATTTAGGGCATTTCCTTCCACATTTATCTGCTGCAGACCGTAAACACTTCTTGCAGAAGCTACACAGACACAAAATTGAACAAGTCAATACCAAATTCACCATACAAAGACAGCTATGTAGTGCTGTGTAGTTAGAGATCTACCTGTGTCCACAAGTTGTAGTACTTGGCTCAAAGCAGATCTCAAGACAAATCTGTAGAATCAAGAAACAGGGTTTTAATTTTAAGAACATTAATCAAGGAACAAAGAAAGTCTCAAGATTCAGATTATTACTGCACAAGACAACTCGTCACGAAGCTTATCAATGCAAGGAAGCACAACAGAAGCTGAGTTCTTCTGCTCTGGCAACATCTTCTCATCCTTTTCTGCACTCTTCTCTTCTTTTGTTTCAGTTTTTGTCTCCTTGTTCTTTTTGTTCTTCTTCTCTGCAGATCTTTCCTCTGCAACCAAAAACAGAGCATAAAAATTCAATCTTTATCTCTAATATTTCCAGCACAAGATCAATAACGACAAATTACCTTCACGTCTAATTACTTTATCAAGATCAATAACAGGTAACGGATTTGAAGAACTCTGTTTAATCCTCTGCCTCCTGGAATCCAAAAATAAAAATCGAAACTTTCAGAAAAAAAAAAACAGAGAAAACCCAAATCTGAAGAAACCCTAAAGAAAAGTAGTTACCTTCTTGAACCTGAAGAAGGTGGGCTTGTTTTAGAGAGGAGATTAGATCTTCTCCTTCGTTTAGATGAGCTTCTTTCAGGGGTATCTTCCACCACGAAGCTAGCGATTATCAGATCCTCTTCGTCCCAACCCGCAAGAGCCGCCGCGGATTTGAATCTCGGGCTGATGAAAATGTCTCCGTTCGATCCATCTGCGGAGCGGTTAGTGACTCTTGATGGTGTTTCACTCACCATTGTCAAGATCTAGGGTTCCTGTTTCCTGTTGATTCCTCCGAGAACGCTCCAGAGAGAAAGGGGAAAGAAGATAATAGTTTTCTCTAACGGTCGGATTTCTTTTTAAAAATCTCGATTTGGGCCTATGGGCCGAGCCTACTCAACTAAGATATTTACATTTGATTTCTTTCTGTTTTTACTTATATATTCATTCATTTTGTTTTGAAATTTGCCATATCTTTACTACACTACTCGACTAAAATTACAGAGAAAAACCTGTCGTCCATGAGAAAAAAACTCAAAAATTATTATGAATAATGAGTTTTATTCAGCTTTTGTTTAATTTGTCGAGCTATCCGATTATGGGCCAAAGAGGCCTTTTTAACTCTATTTTCATCTTCCTCTCTTTCCCAAATCAAACGCTGCGTTTTATTGTCTCTGAACCTCTCCCACACCTGATCTCTAAGCCCAGTATCATTAACCTCACAGAACCTCTCAGCCCAATCAGGTGGCTCAACCGGTCGGGTTCCTAAACCGGGCGCCCGATCTCTCGACCCGACATTCTCATCATTCTGCCAATCCGCCACGTAAGACGCGACTCTCCTATAAAACTTCTCTTTAAAAACCTGCCAAACCTGATACTTATAGTGGTTAATTACCATAACGTCCTTATCCACGTCAGCAAATGTGAACGCATCTTTCAAATGAAAATGATGCACCACGTTGATCAGAGTCGCGTTCATCGCCTCCGGCCGGATTATGCTTTTGTGTCTCTCCGGTAAAACCACACGGCAAGTGTACCCTTCCGTTACTCCACCGCGAGGCCGGTTACTTAAACCGGACGGTCCAAAACTATGACACGGCGTTCGAATTTCACCGATCGTATCGGAGACTGTGTGGTTTCTGACGATGCTGGTTAGCGATTGACCAGAAGGGATGTAGTAGAACTCGTCGACGTCGATGAACGCGATCCAATCGCAATCGCTCTTCGCACGAATCGCGCAATTGGAGAATCCGGCTTCCTGAGTCTTGATCCACGGCCAGAAATGTCGCGAGACGTTGTATCCGCGGCGTTCGAGATCGCTGATCTCTGCGCTTATATCGTCGTCGCTGTTGTTATCGTAGATGAACCACCGTTGAACGCCGATTCCGGCATGGTACATCACCCACTCTCTCAAAACCGCGGCTGCGTTTCGCGTCATGGTGCAAACGCACATCTCGAACGGTTTACGTCGCGGGGAGTTAATGATCCGAACCGGTTGAGCGATCGATGGGAGCATACCGGTTCCTCCTTTGATTCTAACCGAGACTTTAACCGGCCCATGGGCTGATTTTGGGCCCCCGTCTAACACCGTTAACGGTGTTCTACACCGTACGATCTCCTGCGCCGCGGAGATCACATCTGATCTTATTAACCGATTATGTTTCGCGAAATCCCAACCGTACACGCACTCGTATCTCGACACGTCAGCAACTCTCCCCGGCCGTAGATTTAAACCCTTGACGAAAACCACCGTGGAGTTATCATGGTCGATCACTGCGTCATAAACCAGCCAATCCCATTGGTAAGTGGGCCCAGAGGGGATGTGATCGTCCGCCGTCCATCTCGAAACGGCAAGCGATACGTTATATCCACGTGGCGTCTCAGGACACCGTACGATCTGTCCGTTAAATTTGTCGCTGTCAACTGCCGTCGGATTCTCCTTCGACGTATCTCCACCGTTGGAGAAAACGCAAATGAGATCGTTTTTAGTAAATAACCGACGAGACGGAGGGTATTTTAGGAAAACCAGCGTCTGCTCAGGTAACTTCACCGCTTCGCGAATCGAAACCGCCGGAGACGGCGTTACGGTCTCCCGGAGAACCGCACTCGCCGTTGAGAAGCTTATCGTCGAACGTACCACGGGACGAAACTTTCCTGCTAAAAATTAAATTTCAGTTTCTAATAAAACAAAATAAAAAACGTAAAAAATAAGTAAATACCTTTAAAGACGAACATGGTGGAGAAGAGGACGAAGGAGATGACAAACATAACGACGAACCAGAAAAACGTCCTCCACGAGAGAACGACGTCGTTTCCGCATACACCACGGAGTTTCCTACGGTTTTTCATCTCCTACGCCGCCGATATCGCCGGCGCTGGTCGTCGTTGTATATGAGAAGAAACTCTGCTCTATGTTAATTTTTTTCCGGTGACTGAAATAAAAGTAAGGATGCTTCTTCTTGTCCTTCTTGTCAGGTCCACGAGAATATAGGTCGATGATTAGCAGAAGAATAGAATTTTGTAAGAAATAATTATTTTTTTATTAACAATTAAAAAAAAAAAAGAAAAGAAAAAAGTAAAAGAGGAAATTTACCTGAAGAATATCTATGAACGTTACGAGAAAGTCTCTAAAACTACTGGTCTCCTATTAAATTAACTGCTTTATTAAGTAAACGAATTTATTTTCACGGACGTTTTTTTTGTTTTTTACTTCACTACATTTGAGTTTCCGATGAGAATCCTTTCAACTTCCCTCTAAAACTACTGGTCTTCTATTAATTTAACTGCTTTATTAAGTAAACGAATTTATTTTCAACGACGGTTTTTTTTTTGTTTTTTACTTCACTCTCTTTGACATTGAGTTTTCCGATGAGAATCCTTTTAACTTCTCTCATCCGGTAATTAATATGACAATCACCTAATTAATTAATATATTTATCTTATAACTAACATTGGAAAAAAAAAATATTTTAACAGCTTCACGAATTATACCTTGCGTACTATATTTTCAAGTCATGATATCTTTACAGCCTTTTATAACTTTAAGTCTTCACGAAATATTTTTATTTTGCTTTGATTTTCCGAGTGAGGCGTGATCTTGATTTAGGTAGTACTCTACTCTCTACCTTTATCTTTGACTAAAGTTAGACCACTATATGTGGAGTAAGTGGGACCCAACCAGCACTTAGTTGTCTTATTCGTCGCCGTTTCATTTTCGTTATTAAAAAATTAATTAATACATCTCAGCCCAATAGGCCTGTAACTGGGCCTGATAAAGCACGTTTTAGGGCTTTTACCAGAGCGAGAGTCGTCGTCGTCGTCTCCGGCGATCGTCGGAACAAGAAAATGATGGCGATTACGAGAGTGATTAGCCGGAGAATCCACGGTTCAAGCGATGTAACCGTTCCGAAACTCTCAGGATTCTCTATTGTATCTCCCAAAAACGTAAGCTTTTCGCTGTATGTTTCTAAACTCTTCATTTTGGAATCTGATTAATGGAATATCCTGTTTTTGAAGGTTGAGGTAGAGTATGCAGATGGAAGCAAGTTCAATTTCTCATCTGAGTTTCTGAGGGTTCACAGTCCAGCTGCTGATGGAAAAGTTAGATCAATTGGTGGTGAAAAGGTGAAAACTTTTTTTGATTTTTGTTGAAAAGGTGAAAACTTTATGCATCAAAGATGGTTTCTAGGGCATATGATTGTGAAGATATAGACTTTTTGATTATCTTGTCTTAGCTCAGCTTCTAGGCATGCTTATTCAAATAATGTGAAAGCTGCCCACTAGCATTGGATGCTGGTTTTGTTTCTTTGTCTTAATGTTCCTTGGACCAGCTAAAATTGTAGCCACTAACTTATACTTTGGTTAAAAACCAAGTTGGTTTGGCTCTTTGGCTTTTGTGAAATTAGTGACAGCTAGTTCGTTGTTTGCGTCACAACATGGAACGTGAAAACTTAAGACCGAGTTTTGATTTATGTAGATAAGGCTAGGCTAACCAGTATATTGTGATGTTGTTTCTCTACATTATGAGTACTTGTTTGCTGCACTTTTGGCTGACAATTGGTAGATCCTTTGGTTTAGAGAAAGATTATATCTGTATTTATAAGTATAATCACTGCAATGATATTTGATTCCAGTGGATGCTGACGTGTCTCAGTAATGAGTCCTGGTGTTCTTACTTTGCGTTATGGCTACTAGTTTTCACTTCGTATGGATGGGTTTATATTGAAAGTGCAGTTTTTAAGTATCTTAACAATGAGTCTTGCTGTTGTTCTTTTGCATTATGGTTACTAGTCCATTAATTATGTGAATAATGAAACATAGATTCTAGAGGGACAAAACTTGTATTCTTTAAGCTCAAGTTTAAAGACATCAAGTTTTTTTTTCCCAATCAGGTGATATCTGGAAGGCGGTATGTGGGAATCATGTCTGCAGAACCAGTGGGAAACTATGGTGTAAGGTACTTACAAATCCCATATGGTCACAATAACTTAGCCATCAAAGATACCAAAACTTTTGTTTTACTTTTGCTTATAACTTGATGCGGTTGGGGCTGAATCTATTTGTGTGAGGATTCAGGTTAGTGTTTGATGACTTGCATAGAACAGGAATATATCCATGGGACTATTTCTACGAGCTTGGTAGCAATAAGTTTGGTCTCATGAGAAACTATATCAAGATTCTTCAAAAGCATCATCTCAGCCGTGAACCTCCTCCGAGAAGGAGATGATTCTTATCAATGTGTTTCTAAGCTTGTGTTCAAAGTGTTTGATAGAATACTTATTACTTGTTGTGCAGAAACATAGAATCTTGTTTACTTCTTTCAGAGTGCAGCCCGTATACATTGGGCTCTTAAAACCACTTTCATTAAACGTGATTACAAAACCACGAATATTCTGCAAAACGTCAAACACAGTAAATTATAAAAATAATACTGATCTTTTTAATCTTCAAGTCTTCTTACATATTTTATTTTCATATAGACAAGTAATTATTTATATTAATTGTGTACATCAACCGCTATTTATGTAATTTCTTTTTGCTTTCGATGTCAAAAGTTTTCATTTGTCAAATCGTTTTATATTTTGAGCTATCATACGTTTCCTACATGTACTTCATTTGCATTAATATTTTTTTTGTCAACGCTTATTTAAAATTTATAATGTGAATACGTGTATAACTTAAATAATTTAGATTTTGTTAAAGGGGTATGATAACATAATGTGAGCTTCCACTGGCTACTTATGCTCTTGATTTCTCTTTTTAGTGTAGTCCCCAACAAATAATTCTATAGCTTTTTGGGACAATTATCGATTACTACATAGATTAAGACATAAATATTTATTTTATAGCTACTGAAATTTGTAAATATCATTGAAACATATCGTTAAACAAAGTTCCAAAAAAAACATATCGTTAGAATAATAACTTCAAAAAAAAAAAGATTTAATCATCAGTAGGCGTGAAAACGAATGCAAAATAAAACAGCGTTATACGAAGTGTCTGGAATAGTGTTGCTTTCTGTGATGGTTGAAGAGTAATGTATCGTACTAACTACCATGTTAGAGATTACTTGCAATCTAAAGCTGTCTTTTTGGTGTTACAAAATATTCAAAAACGGTTGTACACACCAACGTTGATACCTCCTACTTCATCTACTTTTATTACCACCAACGATGCAACGAAAATATATACTATAATTTAATTTATAGGCGAAGTAACATCTTATAAAACTCATAAATCTGTGTGAAAAATGCAATACTATTTGCTTACATTTACTTAGCCAACGTGTTTACCTTTTCGATACATTATCAAACTACTATTAGCACTTGTTGACTCTTCATCTTGTATCTCGATGAGATACATAGTTTGTTGGGAAAAAAATCTTCTTGGAAACCAACATTTTAAATCGCTTTGTCCAAAGCATTTTAAAACTACCATTTAACCACGAAACAGATAAACCTTTCTTGTATTCCAATTACCAAAGGGTGTTGCTATAAAGTCTAATAGAAAAGTTGTGAAAATATATTAGATTCAAATGAGATGGTGGTGAAATTGTATATTTTATGAAGAGTAGGTAAAGTATTTGGTATTTCTAAAATAGTGGTACAATGATAGGTTTTGTTACGAGATGATTCATATAGAGGAGCAGATGAACAAAGATCACTCCCAACTCACTGAAATAATTGATATCCCTGGAAATCATAAAATCGTAGTATTATTTATTTTCTTGAAAAACTTTATCTTACCGCACTTATTATTTTATTTTTCTAAAGGCTTTCACTCTCGTATATTTCTGTCCAACTGAAAAAAGAGAAAAATACTAAATCATGAAAATGTGTTCCAAGAAAAAAACTAAATCATGAAACTAACCAGTACAGAGAATTTGACAAAAGAGAAAAATACTAAATCGTGAAAATAATCAGTACAAAGAATAGTTTAAATATATACATTAAAGATATATTCTAATAACATTTTTTTGACTAAATTCTAAGAACATGTTCTCATTACAAACATTCATATAGACACATAAGTAACGTTCATTCTACATATAAACAGGAAATCCTGGATTTAATTCTTCCTATCATTTTGTTTGACAATGTTCTTATCAATTTCACAGAAAGGAAAACATTCTTTAATTTAATAAAAAACATTCCAGAAATAGAATTAAAAAAGTTTCACAATAAATAAGAATATATAAAAAATATTAAAGGACCCGAAAATCGGTTGCCAAGAAGAAGACCAAGTTTCTGGAATTTCTCAGTTTTTTCGTTTATCACTCAAAGAAAAGAAATTTGTCAGGCGGATAACATTTTTATTTTCCTTTTGCTTCAATTCTCAACCACTTCATTTCAACGACCACATCAAAAATCATTTCTTCAAAGTTTTTATAATTAACCCCCATTCTCATTCCTATCCTCAAAAATAACAAAAATAAAAAATAAAAAATAAAAAATAATAATTTTAAACATTAATTTATCTTCAAATTGTCGGTGGGACCCAGATCTAAGTAAATATTCTTGAGATCTTCTCCCCACCTCAGCTTGATAGAAAATCTGAGTTCTCTTTCAACGACATACACAAAGAGAGAGAGAGAGATAAAACATTTTTCCCCTTTCAAATTTTGAATTCCAAGAGACGTTTTATTGACGACGAAGAAAAACACTTTCCCCAGAAAATAAAAAAGCTTCAATTTTTCTGGGCTCTGTTTCTTCATCTTGATTCTAAAAAATGGGTGAATCTGCAGTTTTAGCTCATTCGTATTCCTTCGCAGCTCCTATTACCCGTACCGATTCTCACGAGGTTAGAAATTTCTCTCCCTTTTTTTATCTAATCATAAAATTTTCCCGGAAAATATTCACCGGAAACTGGCCTCTGTTTTATAAAAACTCAACCTTTATCGATAGAGAAGAAATAAAAGCTTCTGGGTTTGTTTGAAATGGAGTTTCTAAGAAACCCAATACGAAAAGTTTCATTTTTTAGAGATAGATTCAACTGAAAGTTTCCAACTTTGGATTTGTAGAAACAGAGGAATCAAGTTTCAAACTTTTGGATTTTTGATTTTTGCAGGAACACACGAACCATGCGCTTAGCCAATCAGTCTCCTTCGGGAAATTCATGACAGAGAATCTAGAATGGGGAAAATGGTCAACTTTCTCACACAAGAAGTATGTAGAAGAAGCAGAGAAGTACTCTCGTCCAGGCTCCGTTGCTCAGAAGAAAGCCTTCTTCGAAGCTCATTACAAGAGAATAGCCGAAGCCAAGAAAGCTGCAACGGAGGAACAACCAACGGTAACCCCTGCTGAAGTCTTGCTTCAGGCTTTGGAGACTCAGCCTCCGTTGAGCTTAGTACCAGAGGAAGAATCAATCACCGAGAGGAGAAGTATTGAAAACGACGACGTTCTTGTTGTTGCTATGGATGATTCATTGGAAGTAGTTAAGGAAAGTGAGTGTGATGATGATAAGGAGAAGGAGCAAGAGGAGAAAACTAGGAGATCGATGACCAAGAATAGACCGGTATTTAGATTGTCTTTGGAGAAAACAATTCCTCCTCCAAAGCCTGTAGATACAATAAGGACAGAGGTTGCTTCATTAGAGAAAACAAGGTTTGTGGTTTTCTCTCTATGTAACACTAATTTTTGTCTGCAAAGATTATTACTCTTTAGTCTTTACTGATTTGTTTACAAAATACAGCGAAAAACCGATAACTCAGAGCTCAGGGAAGAATGAAGAGAAACCGGTTCACCGCAAGAAATTCAGTTTCTTGAAGTAAGTCACTCTCTGTTTATGTTTCCTTCTTTCTTAGTATTGGTTTTGTTATTATTATTTTTTTAAATTATTATGATTTGTTCTCTGTTTTTTTTCTCCAGCTGTTTTAAGGGTAGTGCTAAAACTCGAGATCAGAATCAGAGTAGGAACAAGGTAAGATTTGAAATCACATGGTCATATATCAAAAGAAAAGAGGTTTTCTTATGTTCTGTTGCGTGTTTCGCAGGGAAAGAGGGGGACAAAGAAACAGAAGAAGCAGTCTCTCTGTCTTTGTTTCAAGCCCAAAACTGTAAGAGAATCATAAAGAAAAGCTAAAGAGGGTCAAAGAAAATAACGTTGGAGAAACTCTTGGGGGGGGGGGGGGGGGAACCGAACACGCTACACACAAGTCTGTCTGCACATGGAAACATGGAAGAATAAAAAGATCGATCTTAGGGTTTTCAAAGACTCAGATCGTTCGGGTCAAGCTATTTAGTTGATTAAACAGAAAACAATTTTCGTTACGTAGATGTCACCAAGTATTCTCTTTTGTTAAGAAGAGACTCGAGTACCAATAGGAAGAAGAAACAAATTTAGGAATAGTTTTCTTTTGTTTCATGTCTTATTATGTAATGAAGAAACATGTCTAGTTTCTTGATTTTGATCTGAATCTTAAATCTTGAAATGGGCTCTTCGTTTAATAATAAAAGGTGTTAACTTTACGTAAAGGGTAGTATAAAAAATCAAATTAACATTCACTGAAATTCACAAAAGAAAAAGCTGATCCACGTGAAAGAGGTATTATCGTTTCGTTTCTTTTTTCAGACAAAACACCATTTTCTTCATCTAGCACATGTTCCATCATCATCATCATCATCACATTGTAAAAGCTCATGCTTTCATCATTGTCATGAGACCCACCATCTTCTTTATCGCTGTTATGTCCGTTCTCTCTCTCTTCATCGTTTTCACCTCCTTGGTCTCTTTCAAACCGGTGAGATTCAAAATGGATCCGGGTCGGATAATGATTCTGACATGTCAGTACTTTGTAGCTGGATGAAGGGTTGTCGTTTGGTCTTATCCAATGCACTTGACCAGGCCATATTCTCCGGTGAGCTCTGGTCGGTTTGGTCAATGAAGCAGAGGTTGGAGAGTTGACCAGTTTTTGGTTAAGCGGTGGTGGTGGAAGAATAATGAACGAAGAGACAAAAAGACAGAACTAGTGTTATCAAAGTATCTTTCTTGTTTGTGCCAGTCAGTACTTGATGCAGCGCATCCTCTTGTTCCGACCCGACCGGTTTCGAAGCTAAACCGGATCACTTGTTATTCCTTTTCTTAATTAGATTCTAGTTTATCTTTTAGCATATTCTCTTTTATTGTTACACCGATAACTATCAATCTTATCGGATTTAGGAGTAGTTTTAGCTCTTTATATAGCTTTCCATCGTTAATGTAAAAGGTANAAAATTTTTTTTTTTTTTTTTTTTTTTTTTTTACTTTTCCTAAACCGTTTCAGATTTGATGGCTCCACGACGCGCAAATAACGCTGATATGCCGTTAAATGAATGGGAGGAGTTGAGACGAACACTCGTCACGATGCAGGAAAACATTCAACAGACCATTCACGATTCTTTGAGGGGTCTGTCTGAATCTGTGCACCGCCGACTTGATCAAGATCGCAACGAACACGGGAGGTTTGTCCGTGATCGAGATCGACAACAGCCTGTGTCAGATGGAGGGTCAACCGACGTGGAAGACAACCCTTTCGCCGACGAAGATCAACATCAACACAACAGGAGACTTAACCACCGCCGGGATCAAGATGATCGTCGATGGGAGTTGGGTTTCAAAGTGGAATTACCTGAATTTCATGGAGGAGTTCGAGGAGAGGAGCTTCTCGATTGGTTAGTAGCAGTTCAGGAAATGCTGGAGTTCAAGAGAGTTCCAGAGGAACGGAAAGTGGCTCTCGTGGCCACCAAGTTTCGAGGGAAAGCAGCATCTTGGTGGCTGCAACTCAAATTATCTCGAGCAAGAGCCGGAAAGAGCAGTGTCAACACTTGGGCCAAACTGGAGAAGGTGTTACGGAAATCCTTTTTGCCGTACAACTTTGAGCGCACCATGTTCACAAGACTGCAGAATCTGCGTCAGGGTACTCGCTCGGTGGATGATTATGCGGAGGAGTTTTCACTTCTCTTGACGCGGAATGAGATCTTGGATAGCGAAGTACAATTGGTGTCGAGATTCATTGGCGGTCTGCGTCCACAACTTCAGAATGCCATGTCTCAGTTCGATCCATTGACAATAGCTGAGGCTCATCGTAGAGCGGTTGCTTTCGAGCTCCAGTTCAAGACATCAGCACAGAATTGGGGTTCTACTCGTCCGCGAAGTTCTACCACTCCGTCCGAATCAGGTCAGAAGATACCAACCTTGAAAGAGTCGAATAATGCAGAGTTACCTCGAACTGCAGCATCAACAAAGCAACCCGGACAACCAGAGGAGCTGCGACGTTCGACGCGTCCTAATGCCTCGCGATGCTTTTCTTGTGGAGAGTCTGGTCACATACAGACGGCTTGCCCCAAAACTCGCCGAGGTTTGCTTGCTGACGAAGTTAAATGGGATGACGATGATAGCAAAAATGAAGATACGTTGGAAGAGGTCGAGGAGGATCGCAATGAAGGTGACTTGGGCAATCTGCTGATGCTGCGTCGCGTTTGCATAGCGCCTATGCGACAGGATGATCAACCATGGCTGCGAACTAATATATTTTCCTCAACTTGCACTATCAAGGGTAAGGTTTGCCGCTTCGTGATAGATTCAGGCAGCAGCCGCAACGTCATCTCGGAGGATGCAGTCAACAAACTAGGCCTTCGTCGCTCAGAGCACCCTGCACCCTATAAGCTTGTTTGGCTGAAGGAGGGTACTTCGATTCGAGTGGTGCATCGTGTACTCGTCTCGCTTTCTATTGGTAATCATTACAAAGACAAAATTTATTGTGATGTTGTGCCAATGGACGTCAGTCATATCCTTCTCGGCAGACCATGGCAGTATGATCGTGACGTCTCACACAGTGGTCGGAGTAACGTTTATACCTTCTTCTTTGAGAACAGACGGATTGTCTTGCTTCCCAATGAGGACATCCCTCCGTCTCCAACGCCGGCAACGCCTCATGTACCTGCGCATCTCCGTGAGGGTACAGGTTCCAGCAACACCGTCTTATTCTGCTCCTTTGCGTCATTCTCACATGCTTTGGAAGAAGAGAAATGGGCTCTGGCTTTATTGGCAGTACCACCAGCGACTCCTGTTGTTCCAGACATTCATCCTGATATCGCCAACCTTTTGCACGAATTTGTGGATGTGTTTCCGACAGAACTTCCCTTGGGACTCCCTCCTCTTCGTGATATTCAGCATCACATTGATTTAGTGCCAGGAGCGTCGCTTCCCAACAGACCACATTACCGGATGAGCCCCCAGGAACACGAAGAGCTCCGCAAGCAGGTAGAAGCTTTACTTGCGAAGGGTCACATCCGCGAGAGTTTAAGCCCATGTGCAGTCCCGGCTTTGCTTATTCCAAAAAAGGATGGTTCGTGGAGGATGTGTGTTGACAGCAGAGCCATCAATAAGATTACTGTTCGATACAGGTTTCCAATTCCACGACTGGACGACTTACTGGATCAGATAGGTACCGCCAGCGTGTTCTCCAAATTAGATCTCAAAAGCGGGTATCATCAGATCAGAATCCGACCTGGTGATGAGTGGAAGACTGCGTTTAAAACGCGTGAAGGCTTATTTGAGTGGCTCGTCATGCCGTTTGGCCTCTCAAACGCGCCAAGTACCTTTATGCGAATCATGAACCAAGCTCTGCGCCCATTCATTGGGAAGTTTGTCGTCGTGTACTTCGATGATATTTTGGTCTTCAGCAGCTCTCTATCGGAGCACTTGGAGCATTTGAGACAGGTTCTCGCCATTCTGCGACGTGAGCAACTCTTTGTGGCCAGTCAGAAATGCGATTGGGGTGCGAAGTCGGTTCTTTTCCTTGGATATGTAGTATCGAGTGAGGGTCTGTCCATGGATATGTCGAAGGTAGAAGCTATACGTGCTTGGCCGATTCCTCGGTCTGTTTCAGACATTCGAAGCTTCCATGGTCTTGCATCCTTTTACAGGCGATTCGTGGCGCACTTTAGTACTATTATGGCACCATTAACCGAGTGCATGAAGGGCCTTAAGTTCGAATGGACTCCACAAGCAGCAGACGCCTTTGAGCTGATCAAGGTTAAGCTCACCACAGCGCCGGTTCTCATCTTGCCAAACTTCGCTCAGACCTTTGAATTACATTGCGACGCATCTAAGCTTGGTATTGGAGCTGTTCTCAGTCAAGATTCGCGACCAGTAGCTTTCTTCAGTGAAAAGTTAAATGGCCCTCGCAGCAGGTACAGCACCTACGATGTTGAATTCTATGCGGTGGTTCAGGCGATACGACACTGGAGGCATTATCTCGTTCACCGAGACTTCGTGTTGTTTACTGATCATGATGCTCTCAAGCATTTGGATAGCCAAATCAAAGTCTCAGCTCGTCACGCAGGATGGATTGCCTACCTACAGCAGTTCACTTTCACCATTCGACATAAGTCGGGAAAGCTTAATCGCGTGGCCGATGCCCTGAGTCGGCGTCACAGCCTCCTCACCACTCTTCATGCGTCGGTAATCGGGTTTGCGTCATTTTCGGAACTCTATGAGTCTGACCCTTTCTTTGGTAAGGTTTTGATTGAGGTCCGTGACAAGCGTAGAGATGATTTTTCGATCGTCGATGGATTTCTCTTCCGTGGACACCAACTCTGCATTCCCGACTGCAGTTTCAGATTGCGCGTGATCGAGGAACTCCATAAGGAAGGTCACGTCGGGCTTGATAGAACTTTGCAGTTAGTGTCTGCGTCTTACTACTGGCCATCGTTACGTCGCGACGTCGAGCGATTTGTGCAGCGGTGTAGAGCTTGTCAGCTCGCAAAAGGTCAGGCCTCGAATGCTGGATTGTATCTCCCTCTGCCTATTCCTACGCAACCGTGGACGGACTTGAGCATGGATTTTGTTTTGGGATTACCACGTACACAGAAAGGAAACGACTCGATTTTCGTCGTTGTTGACAGATTCTCCAAGATGGTACATTTCATTCCCTGCAAGCGCACTACAGATGCTGTCCGTGTGGCTCAGCTATTTTTTCGTGAGATCTTTCGGCTACATGGTCTTCCGACTTCGATTGTCTCTGATAGGGACACCCGTTTCCTCAGTCATTTTTGGAGATCATTGTGGAAGATGTTGAATACCAGCTTGGATATGAGTACAGCCTACCATCCACAAACTGACGGTCAGACCGAAGTGGTTAATCGCTCCT